ATCCAAAATCATCATAGCATGTTTAACGATCTTGAGTCTCCGAACGTTGGTCTTGAACAGTTAATGAAGATGAAAAACTTGGAACTGACCGGTCGGATACAATTGACCTCACCATTTGTCGCAACCCAGGGACTTCAATCCTTCATAAGAAAGAGCTYAGATTTGGTTGAAGCAAGCTCGGACTCCGTTGAAGCAAGTCTAATAGACATCTTGGTGTGGCTCAATTGACCTATTCTCAGAATTTTTCCTTGACATAGCCTACAAAAACAAAAACAAAAACAAAAACAAAACACGATTGATTAAAATGCAGTAGAGCACAAGACTGTTTGGGTAAAGAAATTCACTTAACATACAGTAACCAGCAACCACAACAAAAATCCCATACTAAGCATAGAATTGTAGCATAATTGCATACAACCCACATAAATACTTAGGAGTTAGTTACTAGGCTCTGCCGGTCAGCAACGCTGACTCGGTCAAYAGTCAGATTGTTTACCAAAATACCATTCTGACCGAGAACTGATCAAGGTGCTGACCTATCACGAACCRAAACAGCACGAAAGTGAGAAAGTTGTCGTGAACTATGTAAACAGGTGCCTTCAGATAAAGCATAGCTTTGCACCACTGATAGACTACTTAAGATTCAATTCAAAAGGCCCTACTTAGTTTCGCACCCACCTCGCAGTGTCCCACCCCCAACCCGAATGAAAGGCCCCTCACGGAAGGAGCATTTCCTCAATCTCTTCCAGAAATAGGAAATCATGCTTACCCCGGTCAGATATCCACTTCCAACCATGCCCCTTTTCACGATTAGGTTTTCCTCCCCCTCATCACCGCTCCCGACTCTCATTGTTCCCCATCCTCCTCCCCTTTCGGCTGTCACTTCTCCTCCATCATTGTTCCCGACTYTCATTGTTCCCTCATCATCTCCCCTTTTCACGATTAGGTTGTAAACAAGTATGACTTAGCACAACTACTTTTCACAAGATGAAATGGAAAGCATATTCTGAACCTATAGAACCAAATGACAGCAGCAACATATTAGAGGATTTCATATACTAAACCAAACTCATATCTTAATTTAGAGATCTTAATTAGAAATGGTTATGAAAAATGACGAAACTTACTTAAGCAGGGAATGGTTAATTAGACCTCAGGTTGCTGCTATATCTAAACACACGCACATACACATCAAATAAGTATAGTCAATAAACACTTGAGTTATGGTGTTCATGAAATCCACATACCTTCAAAATCTATTAATTACAGTTTAAGCACAATACACACACACACACAACAACATCATATGGTTAGGTGAACAGGGACAGTGCAGGCTATGAATTTTCATAGTTTGGACAGTGCAAGTCATGAATTTTAGGATATCTGAAGCATGGATATGGTTACAGAGAATCAGTAAWTTTGTTGAAATGGAGAATACAAATATTTGGTGCTTAACATGYGGCAATCTATTGGCTCATTCGATTGATTGTTTCACATCATGRTATTTCCATGTGGACAGACTATTTCATCTATCTGCTGCTTCACCATGATTGTGTTTTTTTGGRGTTATTTTTTCAATGTTTTTAAGTGATGCACCACAAGCTTCCATCTTTTATGGTATTTTCTTTCTTGCATGTTCACAAAAGATATTCAAGCCTGTGTACTTGTAATTCAGTTATTCCAGTTTAATAATAGAAGTCATTAGCATTTCCTTTGTTTRAAATTCATGCCAAGTTTGTGGGCTAAAATGGAAGGTCAGTCTTAACTTCAAGTGGTCAAATTCGAAGCACATATCTCGTTTTGATGAATTCACGGATTGTGCACTATATTCAACTTCCTCTTCTCGAATAMATTGCAATAATTTCTGTTTTTGGATGTTCCACATTAATTTCAATGTTCCCTATTGTGGCATAACTTCAAACTGAAGTTGTGGCTATATTTTCATGGTCATCATTACAAACTATTTATCATTTATTCCTTATAGATAATTTATAAAAACAAATCGTAAATAATTATTAAAATAATTTGAACTAAAAGCTTATCATCGGCATAGCAAAGATTGAGAATCTTATCCGGTAAGTAAGAGAAAAGACTCTTACTCGATAAATGTGTTGAAGATGCAACTCCCAACTCCCAAAGACAACCGTATAGTAAGCAACAAGAAAAAAGATTAAAACAAGGACATTAAAAACCAGATATCATCGAACATA